CGAGGCAGAAAGGGTTGAAGATGGAAATCAAGGTGATAATGGCCAAGGTATTCACCGTGATCTGGACAGGAAGGTTAAAAAGAAGCCAAAAATCACAATTTACGGGACAGAAAAAATAAGCTTACCAATTTTGATGCAGTCAAAAATTATTTGAAGAGCTGCTACAAAAAAGTAAGTTCATTTAAGGTAGGATGAAGAGGTTTGGGCTTTCGTCAGGTTTCCCATCGACACATTCAAATTAATGTTAATTTATATTCAAGTGTTCTCTTGAGTCTGAAAAAACCTTACCTGCAGAAAGTCTGTGAATGTTCCTGGCAAAACATCATCCATGAAGCCGATATCCTTGGCAAAGCGATTCAGAATCCGACCTAAAAATAGATATATACTCAGTACCCCCAATCGTCTCTGTAATTTCTATAAAGTTGCAAGGAATAACGAACTTATATGAAAATGGTCCCTTTAACAGAGCATGCACAGTCAATGCAGCATGTCACAATGCGAATCACTTGTCCAAATGTGTCCAATGAGCATCTACCAGAGTGTCGAGCTTGGCGCGGCCACCAGAAGGCTTTAGGCCACTTTCTTCCTGCAGGCAGCCATTCCTAATTCATAGATTCTTGGCAAATTACTACAAGACAAATACATGTAATTCCATTGACTTCGCACTAAAGGCGCTCTAGCACGCAGTCGAGTCGTCTTACCCACTGGGTTTGTATCAAAGAACTGCATGGGCGCTCTTATTATAGAGGCGAACATTTGGTTGTGAAGAGCCCTGGAGGCCGTCACAAACAGATGAAAGAACAGAAAGCTACGGACAAACAAGAGAAGCGTCGATCCTCCACACAACATGGCGTAAATTTGGACATAATATGACTGGTTGTCGTACGTGGTCGCATTCTGGTTATCCTGTAGGAAATGCAAAACGGATGAGACAGACAGAAAATAAGTGGGAAGCAATTACATTAGTAAATGTCTCAGGTCTTTTTTAAAACGCAGTCTGGAACATGATCATCAGCTGACCTGATTTGTGGCCGCTAAATACTGCTCTTCCTCGTAGACCCACGTCGCCAGCCAGAGGTCCGTGAAAGTCAGGGAAGCCTAAGTCGGAAAGCAAAGTAAAATATGAAAGTGTCTTGTTGATTTGTTGATCAAAATGCTGTTTGAACTCGATCCTTGCCAGCCGCTTGCCAGCTTACAGCCCGATTTAACATACTTTTTCGGGTGGAATTTCTTCACTGTTCACAAAAGGTCCAAGGTGACAACACAAGTTTTGTACCACGGCAGACATAGACCACTGTATACTCCTCAATAGACAATTCTGATTTCTTTTATTACTAACCAGTGACAGTCTTCAGATTTGAGGACTTAAATGTTTCATTAAAGTGTCAGGGTGGAGTTGGGATGAAATAGGTTTTGCAATTCTTGCTCAAACGTAGCTTCAAGGATTTGAAATATTTGGAATTTCTTTTTAAGATTTGGTGGATATTCCTGGATAGGTCGCCTGGCACTGAAAATCTTATCTGCAAAGTACCTCACAAATTAATAGTCCTTGCTTCCCACAAATGCTTTATTTCTATATGAAAACGTATAAAACTGAATTTTTGGCGATTAAGAGTTAAAACAGCAGTCTGAGGTTCTGGAGGACAAAAACACTCAGCAATGCTTTCGCTGTTTCTCTTGCTTTCATTTTGTACAGAGCTAAGACTATCGTGAGCCGGGAATTCGTTTTTCAGCATCATGCAAACGATTCAATACATATATGTATGTATGATATTGACAGTAAGTAGGCATTCTCCTGTGTCACTGGCTCCCACCTTCATTAGGTCCCCTTTACTGAGTTGTATTTTTACCTGTGCACCAACCACGATGATCACCCAGACGAGGAGAAAGAGGAATCCCGCCGCTGCTCGGAGGAACCGGATGTACACCATCCACTCAACTGTACCTACCGCCATCTCCTCCGGGGCAATGCCCACAGGCGTCTCCACCTGACACAAGGGCGAAGAGGACGTGAGAAAGGGTGGAAAAAAGAAAACAAAAAGGAAAAATTGCCAAAAAAGAAAACGAAGCAGATACCAGCGCAGGAATCATCAAGAGTAGCAAAGACTCTTTAATGAACGTCAATTGTTTTATGTATAGATTACATACACTCGGCAAAAACAAATGCATGTATGACAAAACCATGTGAATTTTTTGACCAGGGTCAGCAAAATCTATATCTCTAAAACTAGGACACCAACCTCATCTTGGTCTGGACAAAACGAAGCGCTTGAGCACGTTGATATTTTCCTTTCTCTCCTCAACCTTTCGAGGACCTGCACCTTATCGCCAGTGTCGTCATCGTCCTCAGATTTCTTCTTCAGTAGGGCTGCAAAGTCTATGCCTTCCCTCTGCAACTCCTGGTAGGTTCCGTAACCAGATGCACTCCCCTGTCAAATTATGCCCGACCCCAAAGAAAAGCAACATGAATTATTACCAGAGTAATTAGGACAGCCCCTCAGGTCTAAGATTAGTATTCTGTACTGAAATGTCTCTGCAACCAGACAAGTGAAATGTGGCAAATGGTTAAATATCTTCAATGGTATGAAACTAACTGAATGCTTCAGTATCCACAGATTTGTGAACCGGAAAATGGACACTTCAGTTTTGAAGTTTTCAACGGCTTTTAATTTTAATCCGAATTACCTGTTTCAGGATGAGAATCTTATCGGCTTTGTCCAGGAACTGCAGCTGATGAGTTACCAGGATCCGCGCCTTGTCCCTCATTTGATGAAGGATGCACCTTTGGAAAACCACCTTCATTATTTGACTCTTAAATCAAAAAGAGAACTTTAGATTTCTGCAAATAAGCTTAATATATTGCTTAGATTTTTGTTTGTAATATAGTTTTTCCACCGTGCGAATCTGCACTGGCCAGACATTGCAATACAGTACTTTACCGACACTTGGCAGAAATTGCCAGCAACTGTTGTGCTGTGCCGATCTTTAAATAAGCGAAGTTCAGATGGAATATTCTTCTCAAAGGATAGGATGTCAAAAAAAGGATATCAAATTAAAAAATGGATTCTATGAGAAATCGAGATGGCTTACCTTTCAAAGAGGTGTCTCCCAACCGCGGGGTCAACTGCACTCAGCGGATCATCCAGCAAATACACATCAGCATCACTGTACAAGGCCCTGGCCAGGCTGACCCTTGCCCTCTGACCTCCGCTGAGGGTCACTCCACGCTCGCCCACCAGTGTCTGATCTCCATGCGGTAACAGCTCAATATCCTATGGATACAAGATTCTTTAAAATCCTTGAAGCCAACAATTGAAGCAAACAATTGGCGTTTAAGCTTGGTACATGTTCCTTGCTAAAAAAAAAAAGCCTCACAAAAGAAGAATATGCAGTTATTCCAAGCTTTGGAAATCCAGTCAATTAGCTTTTAATTTTTTTCAATAGAATTTCCATTTTAACTTCAATAAGCTCCTATTTGGGGGGAAAATTTTGAACTCTTGGCAATCTTCTACACCTCTAGCTTCGTGAATGTAGTCTCTTGGTTTGAGTCTAAAAATTAACCCAGTGGAGCCCCTTTATTATCTCAAGAAAGACAAAATCATTTCATGTGATAAAAATTTTGTGTATCCCATTCAAATATTAATGATACGGGAGCAGATGTTCAGCCCAGGCTGAAACAATACCAGGATTTCAAAAATAGCCTCTGTCTGCTGCAAACCTACCCTGGTGAGCGCGCATTGCTTGATGACTTGCTTGTACTTGGCCGGCTCGTATTCACTCCCAAAGAGGATGTTGTCCCTGAGAGAGCCAGACAGGATCCAGGGTTGCTGAGCCGTGTAGCCAACCCAACCGGGTAGGGCGTTGACTCCTGATACGGTCGGAAGCTCCCCCAGCAGGGCCATCAACAGGGAAGACTGTCAAGGGAAAATAAACAAAGCAGACATGATAATGATGGAAATCTTTCTTCAGTTTGGCATCTTGTCCTATATTTGTGCAGCATACATGTAGATATCAAGGGTGGTACTGACCTATCGTCCCACAAGAGAACTGATTATACATATAAAGGTGCCTAATGCCCGTGCAGTTTCCTATACTCTAGTGTTGTAAAGATATTAAGGCTGACATATGTCCATTGTTCCACAGGGCTGTATACAAGTAGATACATGCATATCAAAAGTATTGAGACTTTAGGTCCACTGGTCCCAATATACACTACGGGTGTATTTACAATGGTGCTGAATTAACACCACGCTTGTAGAGATATAGGCCTAGAATTAGGCCCTAGTATTCAAGACTCACCTTTCCACATCCGACGGGACCGACCACCGCGAGAAGCTCTCCAGGCTCAACGCGAAAACTGATGTCTTGAAGCACAGTGTTGCTTAAATCCTTGTTTTGAAAAAGTCAAAATAGAATGAGATTTCTCTACACAAAGGCACTTTAATTATACCAAATGCACGACACTGTGTTCACTGCCTAATTACAACTTGGGTGTGTGCGTCTGAAAGTGAACATAATGAGGCTACCAAAGAAATGTTCGCCAAACTACAAGCAAAACTTTTGTGGTGCCGCATAAACCATCTCCCTTCTCGCCGGAGTAATTGGATTAGAGAGGTACAGCAACGAATTTCATTTGTGAAGGCTTCATGTAACGGTACCTTGTTCCAGGAACCATATAAATTCTCCACAACAATTCCTTTCTCCTCTTCCGTTTCAAGAGAAGGTTCCGGCTTCTCAAGATCGTCATCTTCCTCCATCTCAGAGGGCCCAACGTAACCTCCAACCTCCTCAACTCCCTCGGATTGGATCAGATAGTTTGTGCTGCTCATTTGTGCTTCTTTTTCCAGGCGCTGTGAGGCGTCCGTCCTTTCTTCCTCGGGGCTCTCATCATTAGTTTCCCTCGGCGCAAGAGCGCCATTTGCAGTTATCTCTTCCAACAGAATCGCGGACTTTTCCAATCCAACATTGTCGTTAATATCCACAGTGGCCTCACCGTCTTGTCTCTCAAGCTCTTCCATAAGCAGAAATTTCTGGTTATCAAAGGTAGAAATAGTTTGCATACGTTGTAAACACCTACAAGATTTCGAGACTCAATTAAGCACTGAATAATTTGGATGATGAAGTGAAGGCTTCATCCCATTCAGAGTCGAGCTCTCTTATAGATTGATGTGGGAATAAACTTGGGTACTTTGTGGGCAAAAGTAACTAGGTAAAATACCCTACCCAACCCACTGCTTGGGTAACCATGACACTGACACCATTATTTACACCCTCTCGAGACTCCATTTTAGTCTCTATGTGGAAATTAATTTCACAAAGATGATACTGGCGAGAACGCATTTTCGTCCCTTCAGGGAGTCATTAGCCGCACGATTCCTGAGGAATCCAGGTATGGTTTTAGTGAGTCAGTGGCACTCACAAGATGGGAAATTTGGGTAGCCGTCTGTATGGGACATGATATTAACAACACATATTAGTTGGATGGGTTTTGTTCATCCAATACGGAAGCTAGGATATCGAGGGCGTCATCGCGTTCTTCAGGTGTAGAGGACTGGTCGTTCTCTACGTGGCTGAGTTTGGCTCTGACAAAATTTTTCTGGATGTTAATTGTTGGCTCTTTTGTAAGCAACCAGTAGAGGTTTGGGGAAAATCTCCCTGAGTAGTGGGTTGCTTGAGATAAGGTGCCAATATTCCAGAAGAGCATTTCTGACATACTTGTGTTTCAGTCGTGGATGGTGTGTAGTGGTAAAGACGAGGGGGGGGGCTCTTTCTTTTCCATCGTCTTTCGTTCTGTGTGAATTAAAGATTTCCGTTGTTGGAAATCGATAGATTGCATCGACTTCTGAAATTCCGCTTGGGTATAGCCTCGAATTTTTTTCGAAGTTTTTCTTTGAAACGTTGCACCTTTTATAGAAAGTCAGCCTCATTGTTTGTATTTATGCCATATCTCAGGATTTCACCTTTGATAAAGCCGTGGAATATGTGTTGTGGATGGGATGAATTCCTTTCCAAAATTGGAATGTTTCCGTTGGTTTCGTGAATACTTTATTATCCAGGGTACCAGTTTTGCAGAAACGCGGACCTTTGAATATGGTAAGGTCCAGGTAGGTGATGGAAATTTCAGATGCGTCAAAAGTAGATTTGAGGGTGGGACACAATTGGTTCATATGGTGAACAAGTTGGGTGAAGGAATCAAGATGGCCGTTGTAGATGATGAGTATGTCATCTCTGAATCTTGCCCAGAAAAGGATTGCCTACGTTGTAAATACCTACAAGATCTCGAGACTCAATTGGGCGCTGAATAATATGGTTTGTAATCTGATATTCACATTAATTCAAAGCCTTCGAGGACGATGAGGTACTCAAGTTTATTCTTGGTTATTTTGGATAGTGAGAGATGACCATCCACCTCGTCCAAAGGTTTGAATTCTTATATCCTTACCTGAATCCTACGAATGGAAACGAGTCCCTCTGCCCCGTTCATCACACCCAACGGGAAGAATAAGGACAAGCAGAGTCGAGCGCCATAGAACAACGAGACCACCGGGTACACCTTGGACGACGTGACGGGGTTGCCGATTGAGGCGTAGACCACGAACGTGACGAATGTTGTCAGTAGGGTGGAATCGAACAGCAGAGCAAAGATTAGCGCTCGTAGGTAAGAGCTGTACAATATCTTGCGTATCTCCTTGCTGCAGACCAAAACAGCACAAGCAGAAATCGCTACATATTCTAATGTCTACCACAAAAAGACTGACAGGAACTATGCTCAACTTGCAGTGACAAAATGGAGAGATAATGGTCCAAAAAATCACTCCGTGAGTTCTCAACATTTTGAGCAGTAATGAATGATTGTCTCCAGCAAAATTCCTTGTCAATGTGAAACAATTGCTGTCGTGCATGTCCCATTGTTTCATTCCAGTTAAAACATTTTCAAAGGGCTTCTGCGCGTTGTGCATGCATCCTTTTATTGAATTGTATTGTACAATTCCTGCAACCAAATTAAGAAACGATTCCTTGTATGAAATAATTTTTTGGCTGGTTTAAAATAGTATGCTATAATGACAATAAACTTACCCTCGGCTCTCGGCGACTAGTTTTCCAAAGGATTGTTCCCAAGCATAGATCTTGATGACGCGCATCCCGGATATCACCTCATTCATGATGCGGAGTCTTGCATCCGACAACAAGGCCGTCTTAGATCTGACAAGGAAGGGAGGAGGAAAGGCAGAAGGAACTTCGAGAGTGCAAAGGGGCAGAAAGATAGAATGGACGTGAGCACTCAGGAACAAGCAAGAATCTCTTGGCAAAGTAGATCTTACCTCAACTTGGAAAACAGCTTCCCCGTGTAACCCTGCAGGGGCGCCATCAAGATCAAGACGGAGAGGCCCGCCAGGCAGGAAACTCCGATCTCTCGCCAACATAAGACGAAAAGCACAGTCAGCTGGAATGGTGCTATCCACAAATATTGTACGAACATAAAGGCCTGCAAAACAGAACCAATTATAGGTCCAGAGAATAGAGGGTGACAAAAAGTTTCGAAAGGCCAGTGTTCAAAGGAAAGCAGCTATAAAAGCAGTATAAAAATATGTAAGCAAACATGTCACAACATTTCCAGACAAAGGAACCACTCTGCTTTTGAGCATGTTTCGTGTGTCACAGGTTAAAATATTAGCCGGATAACGTATACCCCCGTTTATCTTAAAACTGTTTTCATTTCAATAACTTCATTATTGTTTATGAAGCTTGCAACCAATCATTTGAAAGGATCATTCGCGGGCC